TTGCGCGCCACCAACACCAGCGTGGTCAGGTGGGGCGGCGCAGGCGCAGGCGCCTGCTGCCTGGGCGCGGGCGGGCGGGCGCCGAGGCAGCCTCCCCCCGGGGGCTGCCGCCCTCGCCACCCTCGCTGCCACTCCACTGCTCACCGCCGCCGCCCCGCCGCCCCTCCCCCCCTGCAGGAATGCTGTGCACAAGGTCAACAAGCAGCCAGTCAGCATCAAGTTCTACGGGTGCGCGGCCGGTCGGGCAGCGGCGCTGCGGCGCCTGCGCCGCCACCCCGCCCGCCCCTGCTGTGCTTCGCCCGGCTGGGCCTCTCAGCCTGCCCTAGCTTGTAGGGAGGGCCCCCGCCTGGGTCCCTGGCCGCCGTCTCGTAACCACAACCAGCACACCCACGTGCTGCGCCGCACGCCCCGAACACACACACACACACACACACACACCTGCCCCCCACCCCACCCCACCCACCCCCCGCAGCCGCATGGAGGACTTCAACCGCGAGCGCCAGCTCTACTCTCTGGCCATCTCCCCCCAGTTTGTTCCCATGATGTACTTTTGTGAGGAAGGGTCGGAGGACCTGCCCCCCTTCATCATCACCGAGCGCGGCGACTTCACGCTGTGCGACGTGCTGCGCAAGAGCCGGCCGCCGCCGCAGCAGCAGAAGATCCTGCTGCATGACGTGGCCGCCGCGCTGAGCCAGCTGCACAGCATGGGGCTGGTGCAGATGGACATACGCCCCGCCAACATCATGTTCTTTGGGTGAGCAAGGGGGCAGGGCGGCGGGGGTGGGCTGGCGGGGAGGGGACGGCAGGCAGGGGCGGGTGGCGGGGCGGCTTGTGTGTGTGCGTCTGGCGGCTGGGGGTGCCAAGGTGCCCGCCATAGCAGCCACGCTCACCTTGCCCGCCCCGCCCCGCCCCGCCCCGCCGCGCCGCGCAGCAAGGAGGGTGCCTGGAAGCTGGTCGACTTTGAGAACTGGGCGTGGAGCGGGCAGGCGGCGGATGTGTCGTACGCGCTGCGCTACACGTCGCCAGAGGTGCGCCGCTGGCGGAGGGGGGGGCGCAGGGAGCAGGCGGGCGCGCCCGCATGTCTGCCTTTTCGGGTGGGCGTGCGCTCGCGGCAGGCATCCCCGCCCTTCCTGCACCCTGGCTGAGCATCTCAACCCTGCCTCGATCCCCACCACCACCACACCACCACACCCACCACCATCACCCACCACACGCAGATCCCTGCCGCCGACCTGGCGGGCGAGGCCACCATCGCCGCGGACCCATCCATGGACATGTTTGCGCTGGGCATACTGGCCTTTGAGGTCATGACCGGCAAGCGCTTCTACGGGGAGGGTGAGCGCTGGGAGCGGGGCGGCGGGGGCTGGCGAGCGCCGCGCGGCGCACGCACGCATGCCCGCATGCCCGTGCCAGCGCTGGGGCCTCCGTGGCGCACCGCAGCCTGCCAAGCCTGACGGGAACAACGCCGCCCCCTGCCGGCCCCCACCCCGGCTTCCTGCAGACACCAGCGACTCGGATGTGCTGCTGATGCTGATGGGCCACAAGCAGCTGCCCAGCGAGGGGGAGGGCAGCGTGCTGGCGCAGGTGGGGCCGCGGGCAGGGGCCACGGCAGGGCGGGGCACGGCGCGGGGCACCAGCCCCC